TAGGAAGCCCTCTTCCATTCCCATCTGCAAGCTCAGGTAGGTGTCCTTGTTTATGCTCCCCCAGCCCTCTCTTGTGGGGCTCACTGCACTGTGATGGACTCCTTCATTTTCTGGTTGGTTTGTTTCTTCAAGGGGACTATCACAGTTCAACCTGTATCACCAGTGCCTAAGAAGGGCCTGTTACCAGGTAGGTCCTCCAGAAAAGGAAGCCATGAAAAAATGAATGAAATGAGCATCAGTTCTGCACAGTCTTGGTTTATATTTTGTAGTCTCGATTATCAACAATTCTACTGTAGAAGGTAAGAGTACAGGCTCTGATGCCAAATTTTCTGGGTCCATATCCTGTCTCTGTTCAGTTTCCTAGATGTGTGAACTTGAAGTTTACTTTACCTCTGTGTGCCTTAGTCTCCTTATCTGTAGATGGTATAATTACATTTCCTACCTCAGGGTCATTGTGGGGAATTAAGTGAGTTAATGCATGTTAAATGCTTAAAGTCTGGCACCTAGAAAATTCTCTGTAAATATTATTATCAAACATCTAAATCACCCCAAGAAACTTCAGATCTAGGTATGCTTCCTGAGCAATACATTCTGCAGGAATGGTTGGTGCTCTCAGCAGTCATTGACCCTCAGGAGAGATGGATGTGGTCTTTGCCTGGTATTGCTTCCATTATGTGCTCTAAGAGATAAGGAACATAAGGGTATGCTAAGCTAGAGGAATGGGTTAGAAACTCCACCAGTGGATGCCTTCAGTAAGAGAGTATGTTTATCATGGTTTATTGTGATTGCATTTGCTTTTAATGAATGAGTGAGCTTTCTGAAGACAAGAAAATACTTGGTGGAATGATTAGAACTGTGGATTCCTGGGGACTTCCTGTTCTCAGTCTTGAGGGGTTATGATGGGAAGGTTGGTGAGCAGAAACTATGTTTTTAAAAGCCAGAGATAGACAGAATTTTTTTGTTGTTGAACATGAAGTGTTTAGGAACAAGCTGAGGGCCAGGCACGGTGGCTCACACCAGTAATCCCAGCACTTTGGGAGGCTAAGGCAGGAAGATCACTTAGGCCCAGGAGTTCAAGACCAACATAGGCAACATAGTGAGACCCTGTCTCTCCAAAAAAAAAAAATAGTAATAATTAAAATTAGCTGGGCATGGTGGTGCACATCTGTGGTCCTACCTACTTAGGAGGCTGAGGTGGGAGGATTGCTTGAGCCTGGGAGGTTGAGGCTGCAGTGAGCCATGATCAAGCCACTCACTGTTTTCCAGCCAGGGCAACAGAGTAAGACCCCATCTCTAAAAAGAAATAAAATAATCCTGAAGTAGGAACAAGTTGTTCCTATAATTTATAGAAAATGCAAAAGATCTAGAAGAGCAAAACAATTTTAAAAAGCAAAGATCGAAGACATTCATTTTTCAATTTAAAAATATACTATAAAGCTACAGTCAAGGCAGTGTGGTACTGGCATAAAAATAGACACATTGGGCTGGGTACGGTGGCTCCCATCACTTTGGGAGGCCAAGGCAGGTGGATCACTTGAGCACAGGAGTTCATTCAAGACAGTTTGGCAGCATCTCTGCAAAAAGCACAAAAATTGACCGGGCATGGTGGTGCATACCTCTAGTCCCAGCTACTTGGGAGGCTGAGGTGGGAGAATGGTCTGAGCCTGAAAGGTGGAGGTTGTAGTAAGTTGAGATCACACAACTGTGCTCCAGCCTGGGCGACAGAGTCAGACCTTGTCTAAAAAACAAAACAAAACAAAAAAAACACATAGATAATAGACAAATAGAACAGAACTGATAGTCTGGAAATAAATCTTTATATTCAATAGATTTTTGACAAAGTTGCCAAGGTAATTTATTAAAGAAAGGATAATATTTTTAACAAATAATGCTGGGACAGTTGGATATCCACATGATGAATTTAGACATTTATTTCACATTATATATAAAAATAAACTATTTAAAAAAAATTTTTTTTGAGACAGGTTCTTGTTCTGTTGCCCAGGCTAGAGTACAGTGGTACAGTCACAGTTCATTGTAGCCTCGACATCCTGGGCTCAAGGGATCCTTCTGCCTCAGCATCCTGAGAAGCTGGGACTACAGGCACATGCCACTATGCCTGGCTACTTTTTCATATTTTTTGTAGAGACGTGGTCTCACTGTGTTTTGCCAGGCTGGTCTTGAACCCTTGGGCTCAACTGATGCTCTCACCTAAGCCTCCCAAAGTGCTGAGATTACATATGTGAGCCACTGTGCCCAGCCTAAAAATAAACTAAAATAGATCATAGATTTAAGTATAAGAGCTAAAACAATAAAACTTATAGAAGAAAACATAGAACATCTTTGAGACTTCAGGTTAGGCAAATATTTCTTAGATACAACAACAAAGGCACAGTCCATAAAAGAAGAAAAAATGAATAAATTGGACCAAATCAAAATTCAAATTGTTTGCACTTCCAATATGCAGAATAAATAAAATGAGAAAACAAACAGCAGACTGGGAGAAAATATTTCTGAAATACATATCTGATAAAGAACCTGTATCCAGAATATATACTCACGTACCTCAATAACCAACAGATAAAAACCCACTTAAAAAAATGGGCAAAAGGCTGGGTGTGGTGACTCATGTCTGTAATCCCAGCACTTTGGGAGGCCAAGACGGGTGGATCACCTGAGGTCGGGAGTTTGAGATCAGTCTGGCCAACATGGTGACACCTTGTCTCTACTAAAAATACAAAATTAGCTGATTGTGGTGGCACACAGCTGTAATCCCACCTACTTGGGATGCTGAACAGGAGAATCACTTGAACCTGGGAAGCAAAGTTTGCAGTGACCTGAGATCGCGCCCTTGCACTCCAGCCTAGGTAAAAAGAGCAAAACTCTTGTCTAAAAAAAAAAAAAAAAAGTAAAAATTGTACCAAAAAGAAATATGAATAGCTAAAAAGCACATGGAAAGATGGTCACTAGTCATCATGGAAACACAAATTAAGACCACAATGAGATACCATGTTACACTCATTAGATTGGTTACACCAAAAAAGGAAACAAATACAGCAAGGATGTGTAGAAATCAGACCCTCCTGCATGCTGCAGGGAATGTAAATTATTGTAGCCACTTGGAAAATAATTTGTTCATTTCCTAAAAAGCTAAACATACACTTACTTTATGATCCAGCAATTCTACTCCTAGATATTTATCCAAGAGAAATGAAAACAGATGTTCACACAGACTTGTATGCAAATATTCATAAGTCCTATTTATAATATTCAGAAATTGGAAAGACAGGTAAATACTTGGTGGAGTGATTAGACTGTGGATTCTTGGGACCTTCATGTTCTCAGTCTTGAGGGGTTATGATGGGAAGGTTGGTGACCAGAAACTGTCCTTTTAGAAGCAACTGTCCTTTTAGAAACTATCCTAAATATCCATCAACAGGTCAATGGAGATACAAAAATGTGGTATATGCTTACAATGAAGCATTACTCAAAAAAAAGAAGAAAGGAACAAACTACTGATACATGCTGTGACTGGATAGACCTCAGAATCATTATAGTGAGTGGAAGAAGCCAGACACAAGCAACCATAGATTGTATGATTCCATTTATGTGAAATGTCCAGAAAAGACAAATCTTTAGAGGTAGAAAGTAGATTAGTGGTTGCAGGATATGGTATGAGAGATGAGGATTAACAGTGAAAATGAAGGGTCTAATTGGGGTGGAAATATTCTAAAACTTCCGGTTATACAACTTGATAAATTTATAAGAATCTGAATTGTCCACTTGAAGTGAGCGAATTATTTGAAATGCAAAATACATCTCAGTAAATGTGTGGGGAGAGAGAGGTAGAAAGGAAGGTGGGGGGGGAGAGAGAGAAAGGGGGGAGAGAGAGAAAGAGGGGGGAAAGAGAGAGAAAGAGAGAGAGACAGACAGAGAGAGAGAGAATGAGAAATGGTTGCAGCCAGGCTATTTGGATTTGGAACCTGGGTCTGCTGCTGTATGATCTCAGGCAAGTTCAACCTCTCTTTGCCTCAGTTTCCTGCCAGTAAAATTGGGGAAAATAAGAAGTTATTTGCTACAAAGCCATGCTGGGAAGGTTGTGGTGATACTTAAAGAGTACTTACTTAACACAGAGCTGAGATCCTAGAAAGAGCTCAATAGATATTAGCAATAGTTAGCCTACCAAGGATCCAGCACAGACTTAGTTGAACTTAATTCAAATCTTAGAGAATTTGGACAGTGGCTTGCAGAGGATATTGACTGGTCTTGTGGAATTGACTCCCGGGGACCCTGAGAGCCTACAGCCTATGATTTGTCAGTTGCATGCAGACTGGGGATTGGAACACAGGAGCCTCAAAGATGAAGAGTATTTTTCCACCCCAGCAGCATTTGCAGAGGTGTCATCCTGCTGCCCATAAATGTGGCCACAATGTGCAATGTTTCAGCCCCAGTTCAACAAGTGTTTAGGTTATGCCCACTCCTTGCCAGGTCCTGCTGGGGCAGAGGACAGGTGATTTGGAGGCACAGAGGAGGCACACCTCACCTTGCCCATGCAGTTTTCTAGAGGTTATGATGTCTTAGTTTGATTTGAGACCCCTTAGAAGTTACCCAGGCAGAGGGTATATCTTGAGAAAAGCCTAGAGGCAATAGGGAGCTTGCTGAGTTCAGTGATACGAGGATGTGGAAAGCAGAGTGACAAGAAGAAAGACTTGGGGTCCCAGGGAAAGGCCTTGGGTGCCATGATAAAGAATTTTATTGTAAATAGTACTACAATAAATATGTGTGCATGTGTTTTATAGCAGAATTATTAGAACACATGGATGCAGGCAGGGAACATCACACACTGGGGCCTGTTGGAGTGTGGAGGGAGAGCATTAGGACAAATACCTAATGCATGTGGGGCTTAAAACCTAGATGACAGGTTGATAGGTGCAGCAAACTACCATGGCACATGTATGCCTATGTGACAACCTGCACATTCTGCACATGTATCCTGGAACTTAAAGTAAAAAAAAAAAAAAAAAAATAGTAAAAGTAGTCCATCTAGAGGGAGAAAAGGGGAAAAAACAAAAAGAATTTTATTTCTCCTGAGGGCAATGAGAAGTGCAGTTTCTAAGTATCTTCCAGCTCAGAGATCTTCAATTAAATGGTCCCAAATGGCATCTACCTATCATACTTTGAGAGAGCCTGTTCTGTTGATTAGGAGCAAAAAAATGTCCTCTTGGATGTTTATGGCCTGGGTTTTTCATTTGGGCAACTCAAATGCAGGTTCCTTCCAGGACCACATCCATGCTACTGGCTGGCTGAAAAATGGCTTCACGGCTCTCACGAGGGGAATACAAAGCATGGAGTGGTGGCTGCGAGCCTGTCTGCAGGGCCAGACCTCAGAAAAGCAGAGGACTGTAAATGTTTCATAAACTTCTCTCTGGGTGCCTGCGCTGGCTGAGAGCCCATTCATAAGCCCAGGCGGCTGAGGGGCAGGTATTGTGCCGGTTACTATAGCATCACCTTGGAAAGGCTCAATTGGTGAGAGCCGCAGGCGAGCTGGGGTGGGGCAGGAGGGGGACGCGGCTGGCTGGAGGGACTGGCGCTAGGCCACGGATGCTGCTGCTGGTCTCAGGACTTCTGGTGGTCCGGAGCTCACGCTAGCGTCCCCAGCTGCAGCCTAGGGAGGGAGGCTGCGCTCAGTCTGAGAGTGGCTGCTGCAGAGTGTGTGGCTTTTGCAAGGGGCTGAATTCCCAGCCAGACACCCCTTGGCTGCCTTTTTGGAGGGGTGGGGCAGAGAGAGGAGGGAGTTGTCTCATCTTGGAAGATCTGGGCTGGGTTTCATCTCCTTTTTGATTTTGAGTGGTTCCCTCCATGAGAACTGACTTCCAGGTGTTCGCCAAGGGAAACAAGGTGCTCCCCACACTGGAAATGAGAAAGGATAACAGTTTTTGAGACTGACTGTTAACGGCTCAGAGGTGCCCCTCATTCAAAATGCCTTTTAAAGCATTTGATACCTTCAAAGAAAAAATTCTGAAACCCGGGAAGGAAGGAGTGAAGAACGCCGTCGGAGATTCTCTGGGAATTTTACAAAGGTAAAGTTTGCGAACTTTAGTTCCTTTCTGAGTGGCCTCCTATATGTGAGAGACTTGGTATCAGGTTTTTAAAACTACACTTTAATGAGGAGGGGGTGAGTCAGATTAGATCCTTCTGGAGCCCCTTCTAGCTTCAGTAGTCTATGCCTAGAGGAAAAACAGATGCATCAAAAGTATCGGGTTGTATTAGGAAAGTGTTAAGACAAATATTCTATTTATATAGCTGGATTAGCACTTTCTAGAGATGGTGATATTGCATATGGTATGTTTGGCATTGAATTAGAAAATATTTAGGGAGATAATATTTCATGTTAATTAATTAGTAATGACATATAGTTATGCCTTAAATATTTTTTATGAGTTTTTCACTGAATCTTTCCACTCTAAATGAAAATTAAATTTTTTCAAATTTTTAGCCTATTTAATAAAATATATAAAGTGGTTCCTGATTGTATAGATTGCAAAGAGAAGCATAGTCACACAATAGTTTGAAGGAGGTAACTGAAAAAATTTCTTTAAAGCAGAAAATCTCACATAATTGCAGTGGGAAAATGTTAAGTACTATCATTGAATTGAATGTAATTTTAGTCCAAACCAAAAAGTAAATATTTTTTAAGGTAAAATATATTAGTGAAAAGAGAGTTTGCCATAAATGAATGAATTAATGTGACATTTTAATTTATGAATTTTTATAGACATAGTAAATGCCTTCTCAAGTTATATAGATGATTTCATAAGTTGTCCTTATGTGCAAGGTAAAATGACTGCTTTATCTCTCTGATATAAATAAATGTGAAACATACCTTTGATAAGCTCTTTATGTGTTGAATGATTATTTCTAATCTTGGTGAGTGAAAATGCCATCTGGTGTGTCCTTTTAACTTTTCTGTTATCTCTTAAATTTCAAAAGTTTTTCATTTAAAGGACTATTTCCAGGCAATCTGAGATTCATCCCATTTCTTGTGTTTTAAAACACATGCTCCTGTCAGTTTTAAATTTTCCCTTGTATCACTGTTAATAAACTTTCCTAATAAGAAAAAGGAGTTGGACACATTATTTTAGTAATTAAAAACAAGAAGGCTTCAATCAGACCATTAGCATGTCTAGATGAAAACCTAGCTCAGTGACAGCAGCATAAACCAGCCAAATATAGAAAAAAAAATTACAATTAACATTTTTTCATGGGAGTTTTATCCTTCTGCTGAGCACTCCCCAGGAAACATCTTATTGTGATGGCATTCATTTGATTAGAAATGCAAAAAGATTTTTTGCATAATAAGCACAATAGCTTAACTGGCTTATTCAAGTGATGACAAAGGAATCTGGCAAAGTCAAGAATAAAAATCACAGGCCAGGCGCAGTGGCTCACGCCTATAATCCCAGCACTTTGGGAGACAGAGGTGGGAGGATCACTTGAGGCCAGAAGTTCGAGACTAGCTCAGGGAACATAGAGAGACCCTGCCTCTATAAAAATATAAAAATTTAGCCAGCATGATGGCGCATGCCTGTCATCTCAGCTTCCCAAGAAGTGGGAGTATTGCTTGAGCCCAGAGTTTGCAGTGAGCCAAGATCGCACCTCTGTACTTCAGCCAGGGAAACAAAGTGAGACTGTCTCAAAAAATGAAAATTTAAAAAAAGAACCAAAAACCCATGACTTTGGGCCATAGTCACCATTATACTCAGCAAACTCTGCCTTAGTTTATAAAATATTTGATATAAGAAAATACATATGAATTTTCTTTTCAAACTTAAGTTTAATTGCTTTTTTAAAAAATTTAATTCCTTTTTTCAATAGGAGACTGATTGAAGAACCTGTTTTGCTATGTTTGATTGGAGGAACCACATGCAGATCTTTTTGTTTACCAAATTGGTTTGCTTAGGGATATAACAAAATTAGTGATTTTCCAAATTGTGTGACCTCAACTAGAAATTGGGCTATGTGTCTAGGACTGTTTGAACAGTTTCCACAGAACAATAGAAAAACAGCTAGCACAGTGCTGGAGATAGAAAATGCACAAAACAAATGCTAGATATTGTCATGGTTGTCCTAATTGTAGAATGGCTTTAGCAAAAATAAAGCCAAGGTCAAATCCCTTTTTTCAGTGATCTATAGAGAGAAATTATTGGCAGAAGCAAAAACAGACATTGCTTGAGCAGTGATCCAAGTTGACCCTCAGTTCTAGTGGTCTTTGAGCAGAGCTCCAGAATTATCAAGACCAGCTCTGCCACATGTTGGCATTAACCACAGGTGTATAAGGTAATTATGTGTAAAGGACCCTACCCAGAGCCTGGCATATACTGGCCATTTCCCGCTCACTTCACTGATTTTCATGTAAAACCAGTTGACAGAATCCCATGTAAAAAAATCACAAAGAACTGTTTTCTGTTTTGTAGGAGTATTTGGAAGTTGTAAGCCTCTACATTCTAACTTAGAAGGCAATGTAAATCATAGCTGTCTAATAATGTTTGAGACTGAGGTCATCATCTAAATGGAATTCTTGAGATGCTTTTTAATCACAGTGTTCCTCACTGTCAGGGGAGTGGCAATCGCACAGGGAAGCATTTGAGAGTTCCCACACAGAGTTGATTACAGTCAGGCATGATTAGCCTTCCTGGAAAACAGTCATTGATAAGAAGCAGCTGAGCAATTATTCAGCTAAAGGTAAAATAATATTTTAGAAGTGTAGGAAGAAAGAAGATGCACTCATTTATAGTTTACTGTTGTATTATATAGATTACATGGAAACCATTAAACTTGGAAATTAATGTCCAGAAACTGACAGGCAGATTTGTTTGATTTAAATGACCATTTATGTGTCCTTTAATTGTTCATGTCTAAAAAACATAATAGTAACAAAACAGTATGTTTCAGACACTATAAACTCATTTAATTCTATTAAAAACCCTATGCAGAGGGGACTAGTATAATTACAATTTTCTTTTGTTTTGAGATAGGGTCTCACTCTGTTGCCTAGGCTGGAGTGCAGTGATGCGATCATAGCTTACTGCAGCCTCAAACTCCTGGCCTCAAGCTACCCTGCCTTCCTGGCCTCCCAAAATGCTAGGATTATAGGCATAAGCCATAGTATCTAGCAACAATTTTACAGGTGAGAAAACTGAGGCACAGAGAGGTTAAGTAGCTTGCCCAAGGTCACACAGTTTGTGAATGGCAGAGCTGGGTTTCAAATCTGTTGTTCTACACCCATCATTCTTAATCATTACATTGTTACCTCTCTAATCAAGTGTTTTTCCTCTTCCCACTCACTGTCTTGAAATTACACCACTTATTTAGGTTTAGGGAGGTACTTGGACTGCAATGTAGCCAGAAACTTCTGGACCTGCTGGCAAGTATGGACTGTTCTCCTAATCAATTGTATCAGTATTGAAGGCTTTCCCCAAGGAATGCTTAAGGGGAGTCTGGCCTCCTTATAAGTATGTCTGTCTTCCCTTTAAATGAAACTAGTCCCTGCATCGTGTCTGTCCTCAGCATTCAGGAGTTGTGTATTAAACATATGTGCCAGATGTGCACTTCCTGCTCCATCAACAGTCGAGTGTGTTAAAGCTTCTCTGAGATCAGGCAATCCTGAGTTCCAGTTGCTGCAGCGTCCTTTACTTCCCTACCTGCATGACCTTAGGCAACTTGGCTGCAATGGGGTGACTCTAGGAAACCAGCTCAGATCACATCGCCCCACTGCTCAAAGCTGCCTCATTCAGAGTTAAAGCCAGTGCCCTTTCAATGGCCTTCTAGGACTTTGAGAAGACTCTCTGACTTCATCTGTGACATTTTCCTGCCTCACTCTACTCTGGATTCATGGGCCCCCTGGCTCTTACTAGAACTCCTCAGATCCACTCCTGTCCCAGTTTTTGCCCTATCTGTTTCTTTTGCTTAAATGCTTTCCACCCAAATAGCCTGATGGCTCATTCTCTCACTTTCTTCAAGTCTCTGCTCAAGGATTCCCACTTTCCTGACCATCCCATTTAAACATAAGGCTCACCTGCCCTCCTCCTCCTGCCCTCTTCTCTGTCCCTCTTTCCTGCTTTACTGCATCTCTGTCTTAGGTAGGTTACCTGAAAAGCACAGCCTGAGACAGGGATTTGGATGAGCTTAGAATGTGATTTATTAAGAGAGCTCTTCCTGAAAAAACTGAAAAACAAGAAAGGAAAGGAGAGGCTGGGTGCAGTGGCTTACATCTGTAATCCTAGCACTTTGAGAGGCCAAGGTGGGCGAATTGCCTGAGCTCAGGAGTTTGAGAACAGCCTGGGCAACATGGTGAAACCCCGTCTCTACTAAAAGATAAAAAATTAGCCTGGTATGGCAGTGTGCACCTATAGTCCTAGCTACTTGGGAGGCTGAGGCAAAAGAATTGCTTGAGCCCAGGAGGCAGAGGTTGCAGTGAGCCAAGATAGTACCACTGTACTCCTGCCTGGACAACAGAGGGAGACTTGGTCAAAAAAAGAAAGAAAGCAGGAAAGCAAGAAAGAAAGAGGGAGGGAGGAAGAGGGGAGGGGAGGAGACGGGAGGGGAGGGGAGGGGAGAGGAGAGGAGAGGAGAGCCAAGTAAGGATGCTTGCTCACAAAGATTTAGACCTCTCAGGATCTTTCACAGGGGAAGGCTCTGGAGCACAGGCGATGTGCTAAGTCCTTCCTTTGGGACAAGTGAGGCAGCCTTTTTTTTTTTTTTAATCGCTGCCTCAGTCAGTCATTGGCTGTGGGCTGCCCCACTGAGGTGAGGGGTTTATTTGGAGGCCACTGAGGAAGTTCTCCAGGGTCCCTCGTGCCAGGACTAGAATCCCAGGCAAGGAGTCACCATAGTAGCAAGGTGAACCGGAATGGATTGCCTGAGCTAGGAGTTCGAGAACATGATGCCTCATCATGATAGCAGGAAGAAATGTGTTTGGCATCTAGGTGATCCACTCAGACATCTCCTGATACTTGGCTAGCTTTTTTGTTTTATTTTAATTTTTAAAATAATAGAGATGGGGGTCTTGCCATGTTAATTA